ACTCCGTCCACCCCGGCTACAGTTCCATCCCCATCCCCACCTCCGACCCCCACGCACGCCGGCGCTCAGAGTTCAGGGTTCACTAATACCATCCCGTAATATTAGTCTCTGTTTACCTGATGTCTGACGCCCCGGCCAGCTCCCAGTGGGTGGCTAAATTTGAACCCATCTACATATCAGAATCGAGGTGCCTAACTAGCGCTGATCCTGTCAATGTCAATGCCAATGCCAATGCCAATTCCCAGGCAAGTGCAATACAAGCTAGCTAGTTAGCCAGTTACATTTTCCATCTCCATCTCGAGCTGCATCCGGATGCTTACAGCGCTTACATCTGACGCCAGCAAGGAGAAAATATCAACAGAGAAACCGAACCGCAGTCTTTCGCAAGTCGGAGGCGCTTCGCATTGCCGGTAATGATGCTCGAACTGTGCGGAGTTGTGCAACTTGTGGAATGGAATGGATGGAGCGCCACCAACACCAATACGCATGGTTCGATATATATTTTAGGTCCCAGAGATGCGTACCCCCGCCCCATGAATTTGGACACAAGTGGCTCGCGCTAACTAGCGCCGGGTACTGTCGGGCGGAACGCTATTTAATGTACGAACCGGTAGTCCAATTGGCAGCTGGCTAAACCTGCGCAAGGCAAAGAGTCAACAGCAAAATTCGACCAGCCGCGCGAGGGAAGTTGCTTGCAACCATCATGTTCAACCGCAGTCCGGTTCCGCAGTATTCATCCGGCATCCTACCCAAATTAAACAAAGACCAACTCCGCCCACCTCGGCGGCCCTGGTCCTGTGGATCAGCAATGGAAGCCCAGTTAACGTGAAACCATTCCCGGGTCCACTAGGTTCTGTTGCGGCCTATCAGACTCTGTCGGTCGTATCTTATTTTCTGGTTCGAATTTAGACGAGCTTCTCGCGGAATGTCAAGATGGTCGTCAAGATGTAGCATGCAATTATATCCCAGTCCCTTACGCACAACCCCACCCTCACCCACACGTTTGCATATCCCTCTATCCATCTATCTATCTAAGTATACCTACCCCATTTTCCCGCCCCCTGCCATCCGCCAAACTCTTGAAATTAATTATGGCCTGCGACGATCATCGGCAGGTGGGAATATGAACAGAGCGGACGGACCTCGGGAATATTCTTCTAGATATCATGATAGTAGTACGTATCAGAAATACAGAACTAGATAGTATATATACATCCATCCAATATGATCGCGCCTAGTGGGCGCCTATTAACAAACGGCGGGTCCGAAAAAAAAAATCAAATCCCGGGCATCTTCTGTCACACTGCTGCAGCTGATGTTCCGCTTTTCGTGATGTGATGTTGAATTCAATTGTACTACTGCTAGGCGCTTGATCGCCGTCACGGTGTTGAACAAGCGATCCATCCGTCTGGGCGAGCCGAGAAGGTCTCAGTTAACCTTGAGTATAAGTGGGGGCCGAGTTAGGTGGGGACTTGAAGGTGAGATTGATATTCAACACGGGGTGAAGATTAGCTCCCGAAAAAGCGACTGGATCATGAGCGCACAGCGAACCCATCGAGTGGGAATATCTCTCCCACGCGAGTATCAGAGCTGGCTTGATAAAATAGCGGACTAGACTCCAGGACTTTCATTGACAACCAAGAGACAGCGCGGGTGCGCAGGGTGTCGACGGCATACCTCAACGTTGTGAAATAAAATCAACACAAGTTCAACGGCCATCTTGCCTTGGATATCGAACTGCGGAGACAGGTCTAGAAAGCGTGATCGGCCCTAGACCTGGCCGAGAACTCAGTTGACTCGGGGTTGAGTGTAATTGAGTTGAGAGATCGATAAAGACTCCCGCCCCCTAATACTGATCGCTGTCTGCCTCTCGCGCCCCGTCCTTCCCGGCGTCCCCGCCCCCAGGCCGAACTTTTTTTCCAGACCCTGTTCAATTTAATTCCGTTCATTCCACTGAGAACTTACTGTCACAAGAAACAAGGTGCGTGGTTTATTTCCTTGCTGTAGCGTCTGTCCAAAAAGACTACTGGTACCAAATATCTACTGAAATATTAGGGTCGTTCACAGTAGCCCTTTTTCGCTCCCTTTTTCATGCCCTTCTTCGCCCTTTTTGCCATTCTCTCCGTTTTTTGCCCGGTTTTTTTCCCTTTTTCAATTAGAAGTGCAAAAAGGGTAGAAGACCGAAAAAACGGGGTCCTATATGCAATTCTGGAAGAAATGGGAAAAAAAGGGCATTAAAAAGGGCGCGAAAAAGGGCTACCGTGAAACCACTGGTCTGAAGTTCCCTTTTTCCACCCTTTTTCCACCCCTTTTGACTCCCTTTTTTCATTTCATGCGGCGTGGGTGCTTCTATTCTTCCTCAAAGGTCAGATACCAACTTGAATGTTCAAAAAGGACTGCAGTGAATTTTTCTGGATTTTACAGCTCACTATTTACCAAACATGAAGAAGGGAGCAAAAAGGGAGCAAAAAGGGCGCACAAAGGCCAACCGTGAACAATCCTATTAGTGGAACTAAACCAGGCGTGAATTCAATTCTACACCACTTGCTCAATCAAAGTCGGCTCGGACTCCGAGGTGTCCAACCGGAGAAACATAAATAGGTTCAACGCCGCTGACCATAAAAGGAAATGATGCGCACGCGATCTTCCGATGATTGTCAGCGAGCTGTCAAACAGAAAAGGGGCAGGTAGCCCCGCGGACGCATATGCCATGTGCAGCGGCGGGCTAAAAGGCGGTGCGAGCTAAAAGTCGGATATCCCGGCGATGCGTGGGGATTCGGACAAAACAAACACGATGAACGTGAGAATGGCCATTGAACTCGACTCATTTCGAATTGCGGCGGTGGAAATAAATACACAGAGCGAGTCACTCGCGCCAGGACAGAAGTCCGCCGTCGGAGGAGCGCTGCATGCAAGTTTCACTGGAGCTTCGGGGTTCGAGTACCCGTGATTGATCTGGGAAGTATGGGATATCGGCCAAGCAATATGATTGAAAGCCTCTGGCTCGAGGGAGTTGATAATCATCAGACTAGTCTCAGCCATGTTCTGGACGTGTCTGCTGTCACCTCAGACCAGTCAATTCCCCGATCTGCCTGTGCGAGGTGGAAAAACTCGGACAGACATTTCCAGACCTCAGAATCAGCAGTTCAACTTCTAACGGAAGAACCAAATGCTTGATGCCGGCAACTGTGCCGCCCGTTCCGCCAGTCGCCTTCATCCCGATGGCCGGCACACTTGGCCATCACCGCCATACCATGGCTTGCTTCTGGAAGCCTAAGGTAAAAGTCGTAGACGTATCGGACGGTTGAAATACAACGAATCAGTTAACCTGCCACTCTCAGCATTATCCATGGGCTCTCCGGCCGTACGATAGAGATTGATACAGCCGTGCCGTTGATGGCAAGTTCACTGTGCCGTCCTTTTCTGTCTGGCCAGTGATCGTGAAGACACGAGTGTTTCCCGTCGAGCGCCAGGAAATATACGGTCACAGAAGATATTGGGCCATCTTAATTTCAGACCACAGCGGTTGATGGCACTCTAGCGATTTGGCCGCAATTCATCCAACCTAGAATTCAGAAGCGTATGATTCTAGTAAGTACTTGCGATGGTAAATGGCGTGGACTGAGACCCTGGATCCAGAACGCTCGGGCCTTCGAGTTATTGCTGTTCAAGCATGGATAATTCTTTTTGGGCCTGCGCTGAGAAATGCGACAGTCGGTGAAGGCCCGCAAACCTATATTGCACTGATTAAGCGCATTATATTATTACGACGCGACATTTATCATATTCATTCCGTCACATGATTAACTTCTCAGTAGGAGATGCAGCTTCTTTACCTTCTAGCCTAATTTAACGTTGCAGAGGGTCTTCTTGAAGTGTTGGAATTCCTGGAAGCACCCCCGAGAAGGCGAGAAAGTACCAGTTGCGGAACCGGGGGCACCAAGGAGCTTGGTCGTTCCTCTGCTCGTACATCAAATAGTCCGGCCAGTCAGCAGAACAACAAGGGTCTTGAGCCCTCGGGACCTGAATGTGAGATTTCCGTACACATTGGAATATCTATTGTGCCAGAAGTTGCAGTAGCCCGAGAGCCACCGCGAAGATCGCAGTTCTTGTGTATGATACAAATTCACTTTTGCACGGCTTGGTGAGTTTGAACAAGAATTCTCTTGTGCTCCTCATCAGTCCCGTGGTCCAACGGTGCGGCGCCAGTGAGCTTCGTTTTGAGAGATTATCCGCTGGAGATTGCGGGTTTAATTCCCGCCGGGGCGATCTTGGTCACAATTTCATAGAGTCGGCGCGCTTTTACTTCCTCGCGACGCGGCAAATAAATTTAAACACAACCACGTACTGGGTTGAAACAGTTCGATATTAGCTCTCGAGTATTCGCAAAGATGGATTCAGGTGGGGTAGATTGTCGTCCTTTTTTTGTCCCTGGCATATGTGGCGTTTGGAGCACAGCAGACATTGCACCGTGGTCTAATGGCTACGACACCAGTATTCCCTGAACTAAAACGGCTGGAGGCTGCGAGTTAGAATCTTGCAGGTGTGATACACTCTCTTTTTAATTGACTCCCGCATCATTTTAGCAGAAGAAATGACTTGACAGACCGGAGAACTGACTGAACATGACTTGACGTGACAGTTGTTTGTATGTATGTACGTGATCGAGACGCGACTATAAATCACGTGTTGCACTCCTTTTGGTTCCCACCTGGATCCCACCAACGCAGACCTCAGAATTTGGAATGAAGCTCCCTCGAGTGAACGATATTCCGGAACTTGAACGCCTACAGTTCCTTGCGAACTTCTGGCAAATGAGTGTGGACAAAGAGTGACACATCTGGAGAGGGTGATTTTTAAATTTTTCAGTGATTCTGTAAATGTCGGATCGATATCCAGGCAGCGGGTGTGCCGAGCGAGCGAAATAGACGTGTCTTAAACACAGACGATATGGAGGGAGCGGCGTCTCGGCTATACCGTCTTTGCGAATGAAGCACCATTGCCCCGTGGTCTAATGGGTACGACACCAGTCCTCGAAGCTAGAGATGCGAGTTCGAGTCCCGCCGGGGTGATATCCTTTTCTTTTCCTTGGTTTCTGCATCGTCCCATCAGCACAAATGACTTTGACAATGACATGGCTGAGAAACTGACTCAACATGACTTGACATGACAGATGTTTGTATGTATTTACCTGATCGAGACGCGACGATGAGTCGCGTGTACACTGCTTTGTGGGTCGAGCTTGATTTTTGGGTGCAGAGCGAGATAGGTGCAGAGCCAGATAGAGGTGCAGAGCGGGATAGAGGTGGGGTTTGAAACGGTGAGAGGCTGGGTTCTGTGGACGAGCATATTCATCTCACCCAGACACGATTATTAGAGAGGTTGCGCAAAGCCGCATGCGGCTGCACAATGCCGCGTGCAGATTTGCGCTCATTTACCTGCAGGCACTCCCAGAACTCTTTATATCACCCACCAGATTGCCGCAGTAGAGTTTAAGAAAAAGCCGCATGGAAAGACCTTGCGCGCCATGCGGATTTTGCACAACCTCTCTATTGTATGATCATTGAGAGCTATACTTTCTAGTCGAATCGGCAAAACACGGACTGCTGTACATTACCTCGGTTCAATTTCCGGTGCCGTTCTCTGAGTGGCCCAGGGTATCTTGAATCGCGAATCCCAGTTGTACGGCCATCTGTTTCGCGAATTGAATGGCAATGGACTGGTCGACACGAGGAATTCCCCGCTGTGTATGATCAGTGCTTTCTTCATTTTTAGTGAGCCCCTCCACGAGCAAAAGTTGCCGTAAGCTGCATACCCGCTACGAACAACGAAAGTTCGGGCAGAGTGCGCAAAGAAAAATTGTATACAGGCCCAGCGGAGAAAAGCTTGGTCAATGGCCAAATGCCTGGCGTTGAAAATTCATACCACGGCCCACTAAAATGTGCCGATGCCCCTTCAGTTAAACCTCATTAGCAATGCCCTAGCATCGGGCCTCCGAGGTTCGGCGTCGAGTTCAACAACCTGAACGGAAGCGGAAATAAGCGCGAAACTCCCCTGCCGAGACAAATAACAGGTGCAAGCCGCAACGATGAGCGGAATGAACCGGAGGAATGTGTGAAAGTGGATGACATTCCTCGAAAACAGGCTATACTCGACAGCGAAATTAAGATCATGGTTCCGGATTCTTCCACACATCTTTGGTGGCGTGCATGAGCTCGTAAAGTTGTCCTATTTGTTCCGCTGACATCTGGTTTGAAATTGGATGAGTGGATCTAGCAAGGACTCGGAACAACATGTTACACATGCACACCTTTTCGTACACGGTGGGATCCAATCTCTTCCCCGTAAAATTCTTGGCGTCAGGTCCCGCCGGAATGTAATCCAGATAGGCCTTCCTGGAGCCGGCGTGCATTCGTCATTCGAACCGGCCGTGTGATGCCACCTAGGCTTACCACTGCGACAGAAAGCCAATGACATGCACCGGGTTTGTTACCGCCTGATGTCGCTGAAATTCTGCAGAAATCAGGTCAAAATGCATATTGAGCGTCAAATACGGGCTAATGTACCGGATTTGACATAGCCATCCCCCATAAACCGAAGATCTGGGGCAAGATTGCGGTGGGCGCGCAATATTCGCCGATACAAGCTGCAATAAAAAATTATTAGTTCACTCTCAGTTTCGTGGGTGGCAAGTACGGCTTTGGAGGGAGGAGTACGGCGCTGTGCTCCGTAAGATTCAGAGGTCGGCTCGGAAATGATTCAGCCAATCTGACGAGCGAGGCGCGCATGATGGATGAAGGGAGAAGGCAAGCGTTGTTTGATGGGCTGATGGGATTGTAGGGTCCTCGACAAACAAGGACACAGCGTCCACCTCCACGACCTCACTTACCTCCCGCTCTATGCGTTGGTCTGGAACTCTCACCGTGACTTTCTGGACATCGACATCAATGCTCGCACTGCCCAAACTGTCCCGCAATTTCTCCTACAAGACGGGAATGCTCGCCGCGGGATGAAGCTCACCAATGGCAGGGTGCTCGAATGTGTGTCGTATTCATCCTTTCTTCATCTTCATTTGTTCTGTGCTAACCAGACAGCCCAGAGCTCTGACCCACCATCAATTTGCCGTAAAACACACCATATCGCTACGTCGCTCCACCGAAAAACTACCCCAACGTCCGCCCTTCCCGCACACGCGCAACCCGCGGCGTACGATCTTATGCGTGAGCTCTCACTTACATGGCACAGGCGATTAAGAATATCTGCCGCTTTTTTTTTGGATGTATTTTCCTATCCCCTTCCTAATTCGCACTCTTTCCTCTCCTGCTCGAACGTCTATGGCCTTTCCTCGTACCCGCGGGTGGACGTATGTTGAACCCTAGTGATCAGCCCCCCGCACTCAGCAGTGTACACAATTATTGGACTTCCCTCACTATTCGAGCACATTCCGCTGCTTGAAATAAGACCTGCCATTTATTCAGCAGGAGTTTGTCGTTCTCGGCGCTCTTGCTAACCTCGCGTCAGCCTACAACCCACTCCTATCATGCCCTTCGACTCACTGGCCGCATAAGTACACCTTTTGTCGCTAGAAGCGTACGAGGCGCTACCACAGCTGCAGGAGGCACGGCTAGGAAAATCCCGTGTCGAATGTAAGGTGAACGAGCTCACTCGGAGCTCAAGCAGGATTGATAATGACAGTCTCTTCTTCCGGCGACTCGCAAACCCCGGGGCGTGCCTGCCACTGCCCCAATGCTAAGTATTTGAATGTGACGATCCCTCGCTACGGCTCGGAAGATGCCAGGAACCGTGGTTCTAGCTTCTTGATAGGGATTCAATCAGCGCTTTGCTCAGAAAATAAGACCAGTGAAATTTGAACAACAAAGCCACTGCGTCGATTAATGCAGCTGTTGGATTTTCTACATATGTCAGGATGTTTTGAAATATATATAGCCATCTGACAGTTCGCTCGACACATCTGTCCAATTTCAACGTCCCTCTCAACGTCTCGTACAGAAGCGCCGGTAGCATTCAAATTCACAGATATTCCCGACTTCCTCGGACGTGAATTACATCCATGTACGAGCGCTGGGACATGTCATCGAGCGCGGAGGATTCGGCGCGCTTCCATTCCACGTTCGTTTTTCTTAAGATCTGATGAAGAAGGCGGCCGTAGACATTCAACTTAGCATCGACGAGCGCCATGAATGACATCAAGCACGAAGGACGCACGTACAGTCTACGTACTACTCGGAACCTACTCAACTTTTTGATTCTTCAAAGAACCGTGTATGACGCCAATCTGTTTCTACTGCATTCTAATGCACTTGAGTCACCTCCGACCTCAACGGCTGAGGTCTAATCATGCAGTGTCTGACATCGAATCATTACACTCATCCATATGCTATATAACTGGTTGGTTATCATGTTGAACGGTATCTTCCTTCACCTCAGTCATGAAGCATATCCTGTCTGCGATACTTCTTTCCATTGTGGTCGGTTTGGCCTCCGCGATCCACACACCTTCAGTGGCTGCGACGGTATGTCGTAGATTCTAAATCGTGCTCTTTGTTGCCTTATTCTGTATACCCAGGAACGATCCGCTGAAACCTGTGGAGATCCCGATGAAACCCTTGCTTTCTACAGACTTCATGCAGCCAGCGTATTCGCCTATTCCTATAGCACAGATGCCGGCTTTGTCAGCGCCGCTATTCTGAAAGACGGTTATGTCCTGGAGAGCGTCATCGGCATGGTTTTCGTCACGCAGGAAGAGTCGACGGTCCCCTGCTATTTCCTCTCCAGTAACACTCTTGAGGATAATTTCCTCACAACTAATACAACGGAGCGAGACGCTGCTATCGCGCATGGATACACCCTCCTGCCCACGTTTCAAACTTATATCTATCCGACCCAAATCTGTGGAAGTATTCCGATGTACCGCTTGTATAACACCGCCCAAACAAGCAACTACTTTACCACCTCGGAATCGGAGAGACTCAGTGCCATTTCCACTAGGGGGTATGCTGACGTGGAGATCGCGGGATATGTGTTACCTGCGGGGGTCGCTTGTTAGGTGTGTCTTTTTGTTTTCTAGTCGTGTTCGATCATGGTGTTGAAGTGTAGGCAGGAACAATCTCTGGTCGTTGATATTTTGGGTCTCGTCGCTACGTAGCTTTCCAAATGCAATTCGGTTCTCTTGCTTGTCAATTACGATCTTCCTGTCTACCGATTCAGGGTTGAGGATTGGGTCCCAATATCAGTTTTTCTAGTTTTCATGATCAAAACTCGAATTTGGTGAACTCTGGCTCACATGACAGCACTAGAAATACCGCTGAAGGGCCGGTCAGCGACTTCGTATTCATCGACTGCAGGCAAGAACCCTTGTGGTATTAGTAGGCTTAAAAACAAATACATGAGCCCATCCATTGCCAACTACAACTCGCGAGGTAGTCAAAAAGCGATACTGGCAAGAACATTGTCCCTTGCATCGTCCAACTGACAACGTGACTGACCAGGCCTTAAATCGAACGACGGATAACGCCAATGCCATTGATGTGGCATGCTTCTCCCTTAAAGTCGAATGTCGCTCGCGCGCGGCGATTCGATCCTCCTTCTGCACCAACACACGTCTCAGCACTATGAAATCCCGCCCCCTCTCCGTCTTACTAGCCTAACTGCGTTGCGTTGCCACCATCCCCGCCGTTGCCATCCACCCCATCACCGGTCCGCGTGTGTGCCCGATCACCATCTCTCCCTCCTCCTTCTCCCGCCCTGGCCCCGCCTGAACACCTCTTCAATTCTCTTCTCATTCTCATTCTCATGATAACTCACACACTCCCGCCGTGCGACACGAATCGGCACTCAGAAACCTCCGCGCCTGCGTCAGGCACCGATGGTCACAGGGGTTAGAACTCGATAATTTCGACCTTGCCTGGAGCGCAGGTTACCGCCACCGATTGATCCGGATCGCCCGCCGTCTAATCTAATCTAATCTATTCAATAACTCAACACCCCGAATAAACCTCACCCCATCCCCGTTGCTTCCGCTGCGAACCAACAAACACAGCCTCTATGAATA